ATGAGCTCTCACTTGGCATCCAAGCCAGGGCTAAGGGGGAGGGGCATGTGCCTGTAGCCTTGAATCAGCTGGGGCTGGGACTGGGCACAGGCCACCCTGAAGGAGGGCCAAGGCTAGGGAGAAGGGGGAGGGGGAGGGGAGAAGCTGAGATCCAGGGAAATCAGGAGGGCTGGTGCCACAAGGCTCCCACTGATGCACCACAGCCCACCAGGCCCCTGACCCTGGGCCCCAGTAGCTGGCTGCTCACTGGACTCCCCAGGGGCCCACACCAGTCCATATAGAGAAGTCTCTGGCAAGGATCCAATCTTTGGACTCCAGGCCATCGGCACAGTGTTGTTGCTTGGGGTAGGGGTGGGGGAGTAGGCCAGATTTCCTCCCTGGGATGGTCCCTGGGACCCAAGTATGGAGGTTTAGGATGCTGGTTCCAGCCCCCAGATTTCTAGGCCCCAGATTACACCCTCCTCTACAGATCACATAGCCACTGGGCCCCTGACCCTCTGCATACTCCCTTCTCCCCTCCTGCTTTGCCCTCTTGGTTTCTGATTCTTTCTGGATGTCTTTTTCAGATAGACTATGAGCTCTCTGGGTGCCAAGGAAGGTTGTTAAATAGAATGAAGTACAGGGAATGGATGAAGTACAGGGACTGGATGAAGTACAGGGACATGAATGGAGACAGACACAGCCTCAGTGTCCTAGCCAGGCATCTGCCAGAGTTCTAGTGGGAAGTGGGAGGAGGGAAGAGGTTGAAAGATGAAAAATTGTGGGTGAGAGGGCTTCCTGCTGGGTGGGAGGGGACAGAACAAGGGACAGAACGAGGTGGGCCCTGCAGGAAAGAAATCTCAGCCCACAGTGTAATGTCCACAGTGGTCCCATGCCATCTGCTCCTACAGAATCCATGTCCTGCTCACAGGTGCTAACTGGGCACACATAACCAGGCACCTAGGTACAGTACCCATACACACACACACACAGGCACACATTCCAGCCATAACTTTGCCAAGCCTGGGAGCCACTTCTAGCCAACTTGCCCTCTGACTACAGAGCCCCGACTCTCCTGGGTTATGGGTATCCTCTCCTTCTGGTCCCAACTCCAGCACCTGACACTAACCTAGGACCCCAGGGGAGGTGCCCAAAAGGCAAAGGGAAGAGGGGCTATTCCCTGAGACCAGAGGTAAGCAGAAGAGGGAAGCTAGGAAGCAGGGATCTCTGGTCAACTTCAGAGCATCAGCCTGGTATCTATCAACAATGGCACTGTCACAGTCCAGTGTCTGATGTTGGGTGGGTGGTAGCCCAGGAGGCCTCCCCACCCACCAGGGTCCAAAGAGCACAGGTGTGGCTGCCTTTGTGGCCTCATCACCACAAGGCTCGCCTGCTCACCCAGGGCCCGCCTGCTCACTGAGGCTCTTCCTGTGGCCGCTAGCAGAGAAACCGCTGCCTTCCCACCACCAGCACCAGACCACCAGCTCCAACACCAGTCACCCCAAGGGAACCAGCCACCAGGACTCACTGGCAACTAGGTAAAGGCCTGGCCCCCAGGGAAAATCAGGGTCCAGATCAGTTCAAGGGGATCCCTGGGTGCATGGAGGTAACTCAGAGTCTTTCCTAGCTATGTCACTAGCCTATTTTCAGATGCAGCCAGGCGGACTAGCCCCAAAGATGGGCTTGGGGCTCAATGCTAGCTGGCTGGCTAGGAAGTAAAGAAAGGTGGTCCAGGACTTCAGAAGCATCTCTGGGCTGCTTCTCCAGTGTCTGTGATATAGATAGCCCTTCCTGGCTTCAGAAGGAGCTCTGGTGGCACAGCCTTTAAAGCACTCAGCTGCTTACCCAAAGATCAAAGGTTCGAACCTACTAGCCACTCCATGGGAGAAAGTTGTGGTAATCTGCTTTTGTAAAGACTATAGCCTAGGATAACCAGAAGGCTGGCGGTTCAAACCCAGCAGCCACTCCTCGGAAGGAAGATGGGGCAATCTACTTCCGTAGTGATACTGCCTCGGAAACCCAAGGAGGGGTCGCTGTGAGTCGGGTCCGATTCGATGGCACATAACAACAACAACAACAACAACAACAACATAGCCTAGGAAACCCTATGGGATAGCTCTACTCTGTTCTGCAAGGTTGCTGTGAGTCAGAATCAAGTCAATGGCAGTGGGTCTGGTTTTGTTTTTTTCCCTAGTTTCAAGCCCCTACACTTGGGGAGTAAGCTGGGGAAACTGGGTGGCCACAGCCCTCCCCACCCTCACCTAGGTGTCAAGGCAGGCCAAAGCCAGCCCCTCCCCCTCTCATTGTCAGAGGTCTTTAGCAGCAGCCATTTCCCTGTCCGCAGAGACCATTTGTGTGCGTGTGCATGTGTGCATGTTGGGTGAGTGGGAGGAAGTAGGGCTGCCCAGGACAGAGCTCATTTTCTCTTCACATCTTGAAGCAGGAAGTGTCATAGCCTGGGGTGAGGCTGTGGAGGTTGGGCAGCAGGCTTCTAGCACACCTTACTTACCCTTGAAGAGAAAAGGGGCCCCGTTCCCCCAAATAAGGAAAACAGATCCAGCCTCCTCTTCCACATTTCCTTAATTGCTTAACAGTAACTTGTTTCCACATCACTGATTCGACTTATCATATCTTGTTTTTCCACAACAGTCCTAATAAACAGGGTGTGGGGTGCTTTTATACTTTGCCCAGAATATTCCAGGGTTTCTGTACAACTCAGGTACACCACACAGATGTGTGGACACCCACGAAACTGACACCCTATGCACTCAAATAACACATACCCTTGACTCACACTCAGACTGACCCACACCCCTGCCCTGCATGTAACATGCACATTTATTTCAGGTCCATTTTCACATATATGTGTTCTAGAGCCACTCTGTGCCAGGAAGACATAGGGGACATAGCAATGACCAAGGCAAGTGTCTGTTCTCAGGGGCTCATAGCCCAATGAGGGAGGCACACAAGTAATCAATAAAAACATGGTATTTGCAGCCAGACAGGTCTGGGTTCATTCTCTATTAAATACAACTAGTGACCTCAGAGGAGCTCTGGTAGCATAGTGCCTAAGGCACTTGACTGCTCACCAGAAGGCTGGCGGTTCAAACCCATCAGCCACTCCTCGGAAGGAAGGTTGGGCAATCCTACTTCCGTAGTGATACTGCCTCGGAAACCCAAGGAGGGGTCGCTATGAGTCGGGGCTGACTCGACGGCAAACAACAACAACAACAACAAGTGACCTCAGAGGAGCTCTGGTGGCCTAAGAGATTCAACTGCTAACCAGAAGGCTGGTGGTTCAAACCCACCAGCCACTCCTCAGAAGGAAGACTGGGCAATCTACTTCCATAGAGATACTGCCTCAGAAACCAAAAGAGGGGTTACTAGGAGTCAGAATCGACTCAATGGCAGTGCATCTGATTTTGTTTAGTGCCCTCAGGTCTGTTCCCCTCTTCGAGCCTTGACTAGTAAATGAGGATAATAACAGTGCCACCCTCATAAGGTTGTTTTGAGTATTATATGAGTTAATGAAGCTAAAGCCCTTAGAACAGTGCTTGGCACATAAACCAAAACCAAACCTGTTGCTGTGGAGTCAATTCTAATTCATAGGGACCCTATAGGACAGAGTAGAACTGCCCCACAGGATTTCCAAGGCTGTAATCTTTATGGAAGCAGACTGCCTAATCTTTCTCCCCAGGGAGCAAGTGGTGGGTTCAAGCTGCTGACTTTTTGGTTAGCAGTCCAGCACTTTAACATTGTGCCACCAGAACTCCTTCATTTGGCACAAAGCACCAAGTAAATCCTGTTGTTGTTGTTATGTGCCGTCGAGTCAGCCCCGACTCATAGCGACCCCTCCTTGGGTTTCCGAGGCAGTATCACTACGGAAGTAGGATTGCCCAACCTTCCTTCCGAGGAGTGGCTGGTGGGTTTGAACCGCCAGCCTTCTGGTTAGCAGTCAAGTGCTTTTAGCCACTATGCTACCAAGTAAATCCTAGGAGACTGTAAACCAAACCAAACCACACTCATTGCCGTTAAGTTGTTTCTGACTCATAGCGACCCCTCCTTGGGTTTCCGAGGTAGTATTTTTACAGAAGTAGATTGCCCAATCTTCCTTCTGAGGAATGGCTGGTTGGCTTGAACCGCCAGCCTTCTGGTTAGCAAATGCCTTAGGCACTATGCCACCAGAGCTCCCTAGGAGACTGTAGTGGAAATTAAATAAAACAATAAGGGGCTTTGTATAAGGCTCATAGCACTAACCACAGTTGTTATTAAGAACCTACAGGTTATGGTGTGGCTTTACAAAGGGCCCTGTGCTGGTAGGGTGGAGAAGGGTCAAGGAAAACTTCCCTGAAGAGGGATTGGAATTTAGAGGATGAGGTGGGCCAGGGCTCTGGGCAGAAGGTATGTATATGAAAAGGCAGAGAAATAGGAGACTTGGTAGACATTCAGGGAAGTCCAAGTGGATGGCATTCTCAGGATGTCACTAACAAATCCTACACAGTACAACGCATGCATCCAAACACATGCATATATGCATGTGCACATGCATGCACTTGCATGCACACACATGCACACACACACTTCCTGCATCCCAGTTTGCAGAAGTAAAACAGACTTGGACAAGAGGGCTTGCTTGGCAGGGAAGGCTGCTGAATCCTCTGCCTTCCCTACAGAAGCTGGGTTCAGCCCAGTTGAACTCACCTGGCATCTCTCACATTCAGGCTCTGGATAGCAAATGGATAGTAGGCCCCAGGTCCCTGTCCATTCAGCTTTCCCAGAACCATAGAAATGTACTGACCAAATAATGGGAAGACTGGAGCCTGTCCTGGGGGCCAGCCTTGTCCTGGCCTCCTGGAGCCCAGGGCTTTGGGTCTGGTAGCAGGTTCCCAGGTCAGACCCTGGCCCAAGTGTTAGCCCAGTCAGGGACGAGCTGCAATAGCAGCCTTCCTGCCCACTGTACCCTGGTTTCCTCTCCCACCTCTGATGGCTGTCTCTTTGGTTTAGTCCTCAGCAGTGCCAACATGTCCCGGCCCAGCAGCAGAGCCATTTACTGTAAGCTTCCCCCAACTGTCCCCCACATCTATCCTTCTCCCCTGCCTCCTGTCTCCCCAAAGCCCCTGTCCTCCAGCCTCTCTCTCCCAATGACTCTCTCTCTCACTATAGTTACCCACTTCTCACTCTTCTACCCTCCACCCCACACCATCGTGTTGCACCCACCCTTCACCTCCCCACACACCAACCCCCACAGTGCACCGGAAGGAGTACTCGAAGAGCCTCACCTCAGAGCCCAGCTTTTTGCAGCACAGGGTGGAGGTGAGTACCCCTGGGATCCCAGATGGTTTCCTGGCTCAACCCAAGTTTGTCCCGTGTGCCCACCCATTCTGCCAAAAAATAGACATCTAAGATAGGTCCTTGCTGCAGAAATCAATAGCCTGCCCTGGGCCAATAAGCCTAACAGAACATCTGTTACATGTCAGGGAGGGGAATGAGAACAGCTAGGAACCGGCAGAGCAGTATGGGCTGAAGTATGAGGGAGATGGATGTTCTGTCTATAGGCAGAAAGAAGTAGCAGAGATATGGGCCAGGAGGCATCAGCTGGGGTACCTTCCTCTGAGCTGTCCCACCTCACCCATTACCCCACCCCACTTACCATCCGACCCACCCCCGCCACTCTAGTCCCCAGCCTAAGGAACTGCTCTTTGCCCAGGATCTGGCATGGCTGGAGAAAGGAATGTGTGAGGTCATCAATCCCTGTGAGGGATAGATAAAGAGGGCCCAAAAGGAAGCCACTGCCAGAGGAAGGTGTCTAGGTCTAAGCTCCCAGATAAGTGTGAGCCACTTGGAGGCTGCAATAGAGTCTCTGGCCCTCCCAGAAGGATGAACTGGTGCTAGGAGATATAGTTGCATGAAGGGCTGTCAACAGCACAGGAAAAACACAGACTACAAGAGTGTGGTTGGGGCAGGAGCACATGCTTGGTCAAGCTGACACATCAGATAGGAACCTTTCTGGGAGGCATCAGATGTTAGGGCTCCAATGGAGATGAATCAGGGAGGGATGATGGGTGGTGGCCTGGAGTTTCCACAGGGCAGCAAGGGTGGGGGTCCCCAATCAGGTAGGGAGAGGCCAGGAGCACTCAGCTTCATGGCAAGGGTAGGAGGCAGTGGAGATAGTGACCAGCTTCATTTAGGGCCAGCAGGCAAGAGCAGAGAGGAGACATGTTCAGATTGACAGAGAGTCTGCTCATGATATCAAGGTTCCCTGAACATGCTGAAAGTTGTGAACCACAGACACAGTACATAGGAGGTATGCAGAGAGCAGGGGTGGTGGGACTTAGGGGCAGGAGGCAGACTGCATACCCCCCCCCCCCCAACAAGAGGCTGCAGGTAGAAGGCAAGATACAGGACTGCCACCTGTGACATCAGCACTTGGCTGTGAGAAGGGAGGGATTTACTAGAAACCCACTGCCATTGAGTTGATTCCAACTCATAGCAACATTTTAGGACAGAGCTGAATTGACTCATGGGGTTTCCAAGGCTGTAAATCTTTATGTAAGCAGACTGCCTTATCTTTCTCCCATGGGGTGGCCGATGGGCTCAAAGCATCAAAATTTTGGTTAGCAGTCAAAAGCTTTAACCACTATACCACCAGAGCTCCTAGAGGTAGGTGAGTACCAGCAAAGACCTACAGGAACAAGCAGTTTCACAGTGGGCAAGGACTTGAGTGAAGACTGAAATGGCAAAAAAAAAAAAAAAAAAAAAACAGAGAAAAAGTGGAGTTTGATCTTATTCTTGAGAGACTAGCACAAGTGAGAAAGACATTCCAGATATAGGGTACAGCATGAGCAAAGGCATGGAAACAGGAATGCTAGATTCAGGTCAATGAGGAGGAAAACCAGACTGGCATGGTGGGTGCCCAAAGAGAGCCAGGGACAGAATTTTTGAGAGCCCTACATCTCACCCAAAGGAGTTCAGACTTTGTTGGGTGGTTAGAGTCCACATCCTTTACCACCCAGCCACTCCACTTGGCCTGGATTGTTCTGAGCCATGATTGTCCTTCCTCCAGGATCCTGAAAGCCCTCAGACCTAGCCTCAGGGGCACTCTCCCCAGCCTGCCCATTTCCACACTGGCCCTGACACTGGCCCTTGGAGGTTACTTATCAAGATCGCCTGGGATCTGCCCTCATAAGGAAGTCAAAAGACATGTCTCCCTTCTCTCCTGCCTCTCCCCACCCCCAACCCCACCCCTGATTTCCCTTCTCCAAACCTCCCAGTCCTGAGCCTCCTTCTTTCCCCTCAGCACCTGATGACATGTAAGCTGGGGACTCAGAGAGTCCAGGAGCCTAAGGATGTCCTGCAGAAGCTGCAAGAGATGGATGCACAGGGCCGGGTGTGGAGCCAAGACTTGCTCCTGCAGGTCAGAGATGGCTGGCTCCAGCTGCTGGACATTGAGACCAAGGTCAGCTCACCCACCAAACCCAGGTCACAGCAAACCTGGGCTATGCAAAAGCAAGCTCCAGGCTGTTAAAATCTACCCCCATACTCTAAACAGCAGCCAACACCCTTCTATATACATACACATATATATCCAGCCTTAGGTGGAGACCAGGGACAGAGGGACAGGGGCCAAGTTAGTGATACCTCAGCCCCAGACCACCAGGAGAGCAGGTCAGGAGCTCCAGAAGCCAAGATTGGCTCTGTGACCTCATTGTCAACATCCTACCTGGCCCAGGAGGAGCTGGACTCTTACCGCCTGGACAGCATCCAGGCCATGGATGTGGCACTTAACATCTGCTCCTACAACTCTGTGCTATCCATCACAGTGCAGGAGTCAGGCCTGCCAGGAACCAGCACTCTGCTCTTTCAGTGCCAGGAAGTGAAGGTGAGCATCCAGGGACAGGGTGGGGGAGAGAGTAGGTGTGGGGTCCAGAGACTAACAATCCCCACACACGCATGTGTGCACACACACACAGCTTGCCTGACTGCTGTTTCCCCTAGGCAGAGCTACTGAAGACCAGCCTGCAGAAGGCCCTGGAGGAGGAGCTAGAGCAAAGGTGAACAGCTTCTCCTCCACTTCTACCCATAGTACCTCAGAACTCAGAACCTATGGCTGGCGAGACCCTTGCCCCACATCTTGGGGATCTTAGGAGCCTGTGACACAACCGACATGGACCTGGAACTGGGGAGTGGCCAGGCTGGGGCCAGGACATAGATAAGCATGGAAAATGGGCTAGGGTTGGGCCCAGGAGGCACTAGAGACTGACCCTGGAGACTGACATGGGTCCTAAGAGGACCCAGAGGGTCTCTTGGCCTAAGAGCACAGCACTATTAGGTGGGTGATGCACTGGGTGGTGAGAGTGCAGGTGGCATCAGGGAAGGGTTCAGGTGGAGACCAGGAAATGTGGAGTGGGTCCTGGAGAGAGGGGTCTGGACCCTGGGCAGAAGTGTAGGTGGGACCTCTGTTCCAATAACTTTGTCAAAGATTTGTCCCCCACAATATTCTTAGCAGACCCCGATTTGGAGCCCTTCGCCCAGGCCAGGACAGATGGCAGGGACCTTCTCTGGAAAGGCCAATCCCTCTGCACCGGGGGTCCCCTCTGGAGCAGGCACCAACTCTGGACAGGGACTCTTCTATGGAGCAAGCACCCACTCTGGTTCAAGGGCCCCCTATGGAGAGGGCACCCACTCTGGACTGGGGGGCCCCTCCAGAGCAGCCCCACTGGATGACACCGGAGCACAGTAAGTTTTGGGGTGGAGGCAGGTAGAAGAAGGTTTGATCAAAGATCAAGGAGGCTGAGTCCACGGTCCCCTTATATCACAGGTATACAACCATCCCCAAAGCCCCTGTCTTACCACTCCAGTGCCGGAAAACCAAGTGCCCTCACTCTACCTCCTCCAAGAAGGTCTCCATCCCCTGAGGACCTAGAGAGGGATGAGGTAACTGCAAATTGTCTGGGGCTTGCTGAGGATTTCTGGGCCTGCGAGCCAGGATGGCCAAGGCAGGCTGTGGGCCAAGGAGGGTAAGGGAAACTTGACTTGGCCCTGGGCTGGGTCTGAGGCTGAGGCTTGGGGTGCAGTGGGAAAAGTGGCAGAATTGAGCATCTGTACTCAAGGCTATAACTGTTTGGGGCCCAGGAGATGCTGAGACACATCCTAAGGGATATTGAGCTGTTCATGGCAAAGCTGAGGGAGCCCCAGGCAATGATCAACAGTAAGAAAAAAAGGAAACTGTGGAAGAAAAAGAACAAGGATCAGGGGGGTGAGTGCTGAGGGCCAGGAGAGAACAATGGGGAGGTATCTGGGGAGTAGTCTTGAGTTGGCCTTTGACTCATGGCTCTCTCCCACAGAAATTACAAAGGCACAATATATTGACTGCTTCCAGAAGATCAAGTATAGCCTCAACCTCTTGGTATGTGTCTTTCCATAAGCTCGCCACCCCACCTCCTTCTTTGTTCCCCCTCTGCCCTCCTATTCTCTTAGGCCATCCTCAGTCTTTTCTTTCTCCAGCTTCTTCCCCTGGAACCTCCCCTCTCCATTCTTAGGACATTTGGGGCGTTCCAAGCTCCCAAGCAAGACCCAAAACCATTGCTGGGGCTCTAGGGTCCTGACAAAGGTACGGTAAGGGAAGGTGGTGACACACATTGCCCTGTGTCCGCAGGGGAAGCTGAGAAATAATATGCAGGAGCCGAGTGCCCCTGAGTTTGTTCACATCGTCTTCCAGACTCTGGATGTTGTGAGTTGGGGAAGGACAGGGCTGAAGAGGGACAAGGTGAAATCAAGAAGAAACATAGGGAGGAAGGAGGGTGTGAGAGTAGAGGGCATGGGGAAAGACAGTGGGCAGAGAGAGCCTATGGGACTGCCCCTTGCTTATCCCAACACACCTTGCCCCCAAGACATCATCCCAGGTGTGTACAGCATGACCCGGTAGACTAGGTGGGCTGGTCAGAGCCAAGGACACCAAGATTCTGAGGGAAACTGGAAGGGTCAGCAGACTTGAGGCAGCAGAGGCCACTCACAGTAGGCAGCTTGGCATTTCCAACACAGGAGCCTAAGCTCTCTCACACCTTTCATCCCTCCCCCAGATCCTGGCCCACTGCCCTGAGTCTGGCTTAGCAGCCCAAGTGAACTCACCACTTCTCACCCCCAAAGCCATCGACCTGCTTCAGTTCTGTCTGACCTCAAAAGAAAGTAACCTCTGGAAGGGGCTGGGCAAGGCCTGGACCACCAGCTGGTGAGTGAAGACAAGGTCTGAACTGAATTGAGGGTGAGGGGCATGAGGTCAAACAGAAGCGCATCAGAGTTGCCAGGCCCTACACAGTCACAAATCTCAAAACAATTGGGGGACTCTACATGGAATTCCCAAATTTTTATTCTGCTAAGTGTGAAGAGTTAAAAAAAGAAAGAAAGAAAGAAAACCACTAACTTTCACCACCAAAGAGAAGGCATTATCTCAGGAAAAAGAACAGTTCCTTCTGAGAAAGGCTAGCTGGCAATTTTCTTCTAGAATATTTTCTCATTTTGTCATGCACAAATTGAAAACTTTGTCTCAATCCAGCCCAGAATCTAAGAATTGGTGATATAAGAGATAATGTGGATGTAATGCCAATAAGACTTGGCAATCAAGAGAGAAAGAGCTATGCCAAGGCTGTGTAATGATGAGATGGGCAGTTGGACAAGGAAGCCATGCTGATGACAGCAGTGAGCAGTGGTTGATGAAACCAGCCTAGATATGCTGAGTGACCAGTGGAACCCCACAGAAATGGATCACCTGGCCCTCAGGAGAGGTCTGACATGATAAAGTGGATTTGAAAAGCTAGTACAGAAAAGATAGTTGGAGTTGCAGGTAGAAGTGAGAGTTCCCATGGAAAGCCCCAGAATTCACTTCAGCAAGCACACTTTAGGCTATTTCATGATATAAGAGAGCAGAGCCTTGGGAAAAGATTTTCATGTAGAAAGAGAAAGGGTTTAGGACGCAAGAGCAATTCTGGAGAGTTAAAAAGAGAACCAAAAAAGCAGAGGCATGACAGCTGAGAGAGAAGAGGACTTTAGAAAGACAGAGAAGTTCAAAGGAAAATAAGCCAGTTTATATAATAAGTCTTTTGCCTAATGGCCAATTTTTTTCAACTCAGCCCCATGTACAGGATTTTCTTTCTCACAAGTTAAGAATTTCACAAACTATTTAGTTAAGAGGAAAATTTTCTGTGGCTGGGGAACTAAAAACAGGTTAGAAAAAACACTGGACAAGATGATGCCCGAAGAGACGAGTCCCTGGATAACAATATGATGCTTGGGAAAGCAGACAGTCAGGGAAAAAGAGGAAAACCCTTAATGAGATGGATTGACACAGTGGCTACAAAAAAAAAAAAAAAAAGGAAAGAAAGAAAAGATGATCCCTAAGAGCCATCCAGTCTTAACACTTTGGGGTTCTACTTCTTTAATCCAAACCCCTGATCAATGTGGTAAGTTCCCATTGTATTCTTATGGAATTGATGTATCTCCCTGCTGTGGGATTTGTTCATGGTTAACTGTCTCCTTCGTGGGTTTTCTGGGGCCTTTTACCTGTGCACATTGGGCCATGCCTCCCATTAGACAGGAGATTCCCGAGGCTAGGCCCTGTCATCTCCTCCCTCTCAACATCGCACAGCCTGGCACAGAGCGGAAATGAGCTTTGCTCTCCCTACAGGGCTGACTGGACAGGTCAGGAGCCACCTCCCTATGTACCCACATTCTATGATGGCTGGCAGCCTCCAGAGCCCTTCTCCCACCAGGTAAGGGGAGCTTAGCGCAGACCCCCTACCCAAAGCCCTGGTCTCCAGCTAGTTTCTGCTTCCCCAGTCTAAACTATGATTGCATGACAACCACTTGGGTGGGCTGACTCATGTGGGTACACATATGTGTATGAGGGGGAGACAGGGAAGGGAATAAAAAGTAGCTATGTGTGAGTAGGTCTGTGGTTTGATACACTAGCTCCCTACCACCATACTGGCTGACTCCTGCTCTTACTCACTCTCTGTTCTGCCCTTCACAGACAACCCATGGATACCAAGACTCCCTACGGTACGGTACATCCTGGGCTTAGCAGGGACAGCATGGTCCTGGGGAGGGAGGGTTGGGGCTGATCTTTTGGTTCTACATCTCAGAGACCCTCTGGCTCCCTTTTAGCCAGACATGTACGTGTACAAACACCGCCCCCCCTACTTTGGGTGCAACATGAAGTTGGTTTTTATACCCACACACTCTTCTGACTTCCCAGAGCTCAGTTATAAAGTGCTCAGCAGTGATCAGAGCAGAGCTCAGATGTAGAAAATTCTACTGCTTGAAGAGTTTTCATAAATCAGCAACTTTTCAGACCCATCTTGCCTACAGAATTCCCACCATGAACCCCACCTAACACTTCTACATTAAACTCTGTGGAAGCCCAAAAGTCCCCACCAGACTAGGTGGGAGATATCCTGGGCTCTCGGAGCTGGGATAGGAGCTTAGTTTCTGAAGCCCAACGCTCTAACTCCGTCTCTGGTGGGGGGATGTCCTAGGTCAGAGAGTGTTTCACACTCTGCACAGGAGGAAACACACAATGGCCCTCAGTCTGGGGACCCCAATCTCCTGGCTTCCAGCCCTAGACCTGCTAAGCCAGTCCTGAAAATGCAAGTCCTATATGAGTTTGAAGCTAGGAACCCACAAGAACTGTCTGTGGTCCAGGGAGATGTGCTGGAGGTGAGCAATGGGCTGGAGGCTGGGAAAGGTAGTGGTGGTTGGTGGGAGCTACAGGCCACCTAGGTGGGTGGCCCAGGTATGGGGCTGTGGGAGTGAGTGGCTTAGAGAGGGAGAAGGACAAAGGGGAAAAGACATGGAGGGAGAAAAGCTTGCTGAGGAGAGGGCAGCTTGGCTGGACATTGACCCCCAGGTTACTGAGGAGGTGACTCTTGGCAGGTTCTGGACCAGAGCAAGCGGTGGTGGCTGGTGAAGAATGAGAAGGGACAGAGCGGCTACATTCCCAGCAACATCCTGGAGCCCCTACAACCAGGAGCCCCTGGGAGCCAGGGCCAGTCACCCCCTCGGGTACTATTCAGCCTAACCTATCCAGGGAAGCCATAAAAGCTGAGTCAGAGGTGGAGGGTACAATGACAAGGGCAGGAGAGAGTTCTGGTTTGGTTTAATCAGTATTATTGCATGCTTACTGTGTGCCAACCTTTATAGTGTTGGGCCCTAGGACTAGAACAGAACAGAGAACAAGACAATCAAACTATGCAGAGAGAAGAGATCTTAAGGGAGTTCAGAGAAAGAACCCTGATGATGGCAATACGAGTAGCTGATCCCCATTTCCCCCTGACTAGGCTCCAATGCTTCGACTTAGCTCAAAGCCTGAGGATGTAACAGCCTGGCTGCAGGCAGAGAACTTCTCCACTGAGTGAGTGCCCTGCCCCATGGGGTGTGGAAGATAATTGATGATCTCTATAAGGGGCTCATACCACCTTGGAAACCCAGGGCGGGTTGTTATTACTCTGAATGAAATCGATGGCTGGTAGCATAGTGCCTAAGGCACTTGACTGCTAACCAGAAGGCTGGTGGTTCAAACCCACCAGCCACTCCTCGGAAGGAAGGTTGGGCAATCCTACTTCCGTAGTGATACTGCCTCGGAAACCCAAGGAGGGGTCGCTATGAGTCGGGGCCGACTCGACGGCAAATAACAACAACAACAACAACAACATAAGGGGCTCAGATAATAACCAAGGAAACCTTGGAACCTATGACCTGATCTACACTGTGCAGATGCCACAGGTGCCACCTAGCCCCAGAGCTGTCCCTATTGAGTTAGAGATCAGAAGGAGGTGGGGCCTTGCCCATGCCTAGGTTAGAGTGTTAAATGGGAAGCCCCCGGCACGGTGAAGGCAGTGAACTCAGGAAGAATGTAGACTGCCAATTCAGCCATCCCTCCCCCACTGAAGATTGTCTTTTCCCTTGAAACCTAGGAATCCTAAAATTGGTTTAAGCCAGAATGCTTATCTTATCCCTTCACTTTCAGAAACCATACTCCATGAATTCTCCTATCATCCCAACCTCCAAACCCAAACAACCCCTTCTCTACTCAAACAGGCCCAACATCCTTATACACACACACACACACACACACACACACACCAGCTTCTGCTGTTTTTGTTCATAGCACGGTGAAGACGCTTGGGTCGCTGACAGGGAGCCAGCTGCTTCACATGAGACCTGAAGAGCTACAGATGCTATGCCCACAGGAGGCCTCCCGGGTCCTGACACGGCTGGAGGCTGTCAGACGGATGCTAGGGGTGAGGACATCCTGACTCCTTTGGGAGTGTCAGATTCTCCCTGAGGGGTGCTGTGTAAACAAACCAGTAGGGCTCAACCCTGGGGAAAGGAGTGTGGAAGGTATGATCAATACCCCAGGGACTTGACTTCATGGGCTCAGGCATGGCCTGCCTGAGTCTCCGAGCTCATTGCTGTCATGCATTCTGGGGTGCTCACCTGGCACCAGCCTCATCAGAATCTTTTTATTTTCCCAGATGAATCCTTAGGCACTAACTCTGGCGCCTCTAAGACCAAGGCTTTCTCAAAGGCAAGATGGCAGATTTGATACCCTTTAGAGCATCAAGAATTTCTCGTCTAAGTCTCCAGTTTTCAGCGAACCCCACACCCCTGCTCATACAGTGAATGAGCCCAGAGGTGGAAACAAATGATGGATGCCCTTTCTTGCTGTGTTGGGAGCCCTCTCCAGTTGCTACCTATTTATTGTATCTCTTTCCTAACCAGGAGCACTTCCCCCTAGGTTTGTCAGGACTTTGCTCAGTCTCACTTCTTTAAAAAAAAAAAAAATACCTTGAAGTTTGGCATGTGGCTCCCTTGTGCTTCCTTTGGGCTTGATGGGGGTGGAGGGGTGGATGTGCCAAAGGCAGAGAGGGAGAAAGGGCTGAGACACCGGGCATGAAATAGCAGCGGCCCTACAGCCATCCCTGGGCCAGATTGTTTGAATGTGAGTGGGAGCTCCCATTGCCACCTGGAGCTGACAGAATTTAAGAATTATAGTCCAAGCTCTCCTTATTCTCTTTCCAAATAAACTCCTCAGTCTTTCCTTTCTGGAGGCACAACAATTAACAGAAGCAAAGAGCATGAGGCTCCTAGCTGCAGGTTTTGATCAGTCACATTGGCTTATGATTTGAAGCAGCAGTAACACACCTCACGTGCACCAGACTCTACCTGGTAACTCCCTATTTTAATATAACTTTGTCCCCTCCCACTGGGTGAGCCAACCTTGAGTTTACTCTCACCACCACCACCCCGTTTGTCTTGTTAATGGCAGAACATAAAGAACATGGGATTGGAAGTCAAAAGTCCACCAACCGGCTATGTAAATTCCGTCACGTGTCATTTCATCTCTCTAGGTCTGTTTCCTCAACTGTTAAGAGTTTGGACTCTCTGTGGCTTCTAATTTTTTTAGTGTAAGTGGGCTTTAAGTTTTAATTTCAAAACTGCCATGGACCCCATCACACATACATAATAGTAGTTGTATTTTTATTTCGTCTACAGATGTGGCTTGATATACTTATCAAGTCAAGTACCTCAAATGGGTAAGATGCCCCCGTAAGTCTCCCTTAGTTGACTTTTTTTGTGACCCTACTATTGTCTGGGCCCCCGATCACCCTATTTTTAGGCTGCCTATGTCATTCCTTCAAGTTCCTGACCTCAAAAAATAATTTCTCTTAGCTAGTAACGCAGACTAAGAAAGTAAAGAATTTTCTTCACAAAAGAGAAAAAAAGGTGAAATCCTTAGGGTATGACTTGTCAAGGCAAAAGTTAACCAGAGAAGTTAATTTCATGGGTTGGAGGGAGGTGATATTAACCCATGTCTTTCTGGGGCTTCACAGAGCTGAATGAGCTCCAAAAGGAGAGGGAAATCCTCCAGAACCAAAACTAAAACACCAAAACCAATGCTATCAAGTCAATTCCAACTCATGACCCTATAGGACAGAGTAGGCTTGCCTCATAGGGTTTTCAAGGCTATAAATCCTTACAGAAGCAGACTGCCATATCTTTCTCCCACAGACTAGCTGCTGGGTTCAAACCACCAACATTTTGGTTAGCAGCTGAGCACTTTAACCACTATGCCACAAGAAATGGGGTAGGGAAGAGGCTTAGTTCAGGGTTTCCTAGATTTCCCAGAAAAGATTGAGGTAAAGGGCTGTCTGGATATGTAAGTGCAGTGGAACTAGCACAACTTATGCTAAGCCAGATGTCTGAATCTCAGACCATCTACGGGAGCTTGAATTTAGAAAGGCAACTCATACAACCTCTCTAGGCATCAGTTTTCTCTTCAATAAAATGGGCATAGTACCTACTTCAAAGAGTTGTGAAGCTTAAACTGAAATAAATTAGCTAATACATATACCTAGCATTTTATAGATGTTCAATAAATGTTAGTCTTATACCTCAAGTTAACTTGTGACTAGCCTTTTGTTACCTTGGGAGGAGAAATCCTGGTATTTGAAATGTCCCTATGCATCTGCACCTTTTCCTTTCTTCTATTTAGTAAAATGTCCTTTTAAAAAGTCCCAACCTTATTTCAGCTGGACTAATAGGAAAATATGATTTCCCACACCCAAACCAAGGGAACTAAGGATTCAGAGACTTGGTGTGCCCTAAATGGCCATGATGAAGAGGCCAGAAATCTTCAGAGTAGCTTCTGGACTACTCTCCCACATCTCCACAGCCAACTGACAAATCTTGTCTCTCCCACGTTGGAACTGTTTCAGGTCAGTGCTCTTTTTCTGTCCTCATGGGCCCTGTTTAAACTCAGAAGCCTAGTTCTTCCCAGAATCGCAGAGACCTTCTAACATGTCTTGCTCTTATCAAGGTCACCAATGACCCAGACATGGCTAAATTCAACTGTTAATTCTGTCTTCATCTTGCTTGACAGTTCATCTACATTTAATGCAGTTTTTTTTCCTACCTCATCAGCCATTCCTTTTCAGACTCCTTTGCTTATTCTTTCTCATGTCCCCAACCTCCAAATGTTTATGAGCCACAAGACCCCAAATCCTCAGCCCTCGTCTCTTGACTATTCTCACTCCCATGGTGATCTCATGTAGTTATGGTTTTAAATGCTATGTATACAGTGATGACTTGCTGTTTCCCTCCACCTAGAGTTAGTTTTCCACCTTCCTGCTACAATCCTATGCCCATGCAACCCCCACACCAGTGGCTTGATCCCTCACCTCTTTCAGGTCTTACCTTAAAGGCTAAATTCTCAGTGAAGCTTTCCATGAAGACACTATTTAAAAACACAAATCCTGTTCCTGGAAGGAATTCCCAATTCCCATCTCAGCAAGTCTATCCTCTTCCTTTTCTCCATGGCTTGTGTATCACCATCTAACTTACTATGTACATATACATATACTTATTTGCTCATTTATTTCTGCCTCTCCCTACTAGAACATAAGCTTCCTGAGGGCAGGGATTTTGTTTTCTGTTGAGGTTAAATTCATAACCCCAGCACCAAAAATGGTACATGTCACAATATTTAAAAAAAAAAAAAACCACTGTCATCAAGTTGGTTCTGATTCACAGCCAGCTCCTTTGGGTTTCTGAGGTGGAATATCTTTACGGAAGTACATTGCTCCCTCTTCCTTCCACAGAGTGGCTGGTGGGTTTGAACCTCCAAGTTTCTGGTTAGCAGTCAAATACCTCAGGCACTGCACCATCAGAGCTCCTTGCCTGCCACAATAAGTACGTTAAGAAACATTTGTTGTATGAATGAAATAAAAATGGCAGTTTCTTTTCTCTTCTATTCCACTCTACACAAAGAAGCTAGATTCATTTATTTGAAAGTGTTGCTGCTGCTGCTGCTGTTGTTGTTAGGTGTTGTAGAGTCGGCTCCAACTCACAGCAACCCCTAAGTACAACATAACAGAACACTGCCAGGTCCTGTGCCAGCCTCACAATTCTTGTGATACCTGAGCCCATCATTGCAGCCACTGCATCAATCCATCTTGTTAAGGGTCTTACCCTTTTTCATTGGCCCTCCACTTTACTAAGCATAATACCCTTCTCCAGGGAATGGACAACATGACAAAAGTCTGGCCATTCTTGCTTCTAAGGAGCATTCTGGCTGCCATTCTTCCAGGATAGATCTGTTAGTTCTTCTGGCAGTCCACGGTACTTTCAGTATTCTTCGCCAACACCACAACTCAGAAGCATCAATGCTTGGTTTAGGTGCACCTTACTCTTCAAAGAAGCATCTTTGTTCTTCAGCACTTGAGAGAGGCTTTTTTTTTTTTTTTTTTTTACATTTCACATATTTTTTTGATAAGATGCACTTTACTTTTTTTCTTAATAATAAAATCTGAAGAATGTAAATTTTGGCCCATCCTGTTAAAGGATTATTGATTTTTTTCTTTAACTTTTATTTATTTTGTTGTTGAGAATACATATAGAATTCTACACAGATAATATTCTTCAAGTTGTGCAACCATTTGCACCCTCCTTTTCTGAGTTATTCCTGTCTCATTAACATAAACTCCCTGCCCCCTAAGGCTCCTATCTAATCTTTCTGAGTTGCTGTTGTCAGTTTCACCCCACATAGATAATTCTTAAAAGAGCATAATGCTGAAAGCAGACCTATTTCACTAGTAAAAACTATTGTTCGGTTTTGTTTTTTCCTTTTTTTTTCTTTTTTTATTGTGATTTGGGTGTGATTTACAGAGCAAATTCACTTTCCATACAGCAGTTTACACACACTTTGTCTCATGACACTGACCACAGTTTACCACAATGCAACAGCTCCCCTCCCACTTCCTCCCCATAGTTACCTCTTCCCTGTGTCCATCCCTCC